GCTCCGAGACCTCCCGGGCCAGGGGCCAGGATTGCTCCGCCAGCACAGACACTCCCACTTCTCAGCAGCACCGCGGGGACGAGGCAAAGCGCCCTGGCTCCGCTACCTCTGGAGCACGAGGGCAAACGCCCAGCCTGCCCAGCCCCACACCCCCGCGCAGAGCTCTCCACGCCACCCTTCCCAGACCTGCCTCTGCCTTTCCGTGCTGCTCCTAAGCAGGAGGTGGGACGGGTCTGCCGAAGCCGTTAGGCTCCTTGGGTCTCTCTGACGGACCCCAAAGTGATTCAGGACTGCGTCTCAGGAAGCAAGCAGCAGCTTCCTTTCGGCCCCCTTTCACACCAAATTCCAGCCCCCCTTCACCTTTCAGAAGCATAATCAATAGGACCCGGACACATGAAGACGGGGATTTATTATTCTATGTTCGTTCTACAGAAGAGGTTCAATGCCAAGCTGCCACCACCCCCTGGGACTCCCTTAGGCCAGGAACACAGCAGCCCCTCCTTAGACACAGGACATTGTCCACAGGCCTCCTTCGCTTAATCAGCAGCTTCTTCTGCTTCAAGTTGGGGTTCGCAACCAAGACTAACGCTTTTTTACAGGCTCCCAAGCCAGAAAGTGTCCTGGCTGCTTCACAGTCCAACACGCCGCTGCAGCAGCAGCACCCCCCCGTGGCCTGCCTCCACTTCGACTTAACTGGAAGGAGAAGGAATGAAAGGCCGTGAGAAGTCAACAAGCAGGTTTGACCACGCTTCAGTACTTCTTGAACTCAATTCTTTCTACTTTCACATCATCCTCAATTAGTTGGTACACATAAGTGACAACGGTGGAAGCCTGGATATCCATCAGTACAAATGAAGGGACGATGTTCCTGGAAAGAAAACATGCTTTGCTGATCTTCCCGATTAGCTTACACTTCTTGCTACTAACATACCTTATGCTTACGCGTTCTAATACGCTTGGTTGCCAAGGGCTGGAGGGGTCTGGGAAACACTGCAGTCTGCCGGCACCGACAACAGCGTCTCGGGCAGAGTTGCACTTAGCCTAGAACAGCCCTCGAGGCTACTGAACAGCCTACGTTGTGTCAGGCTCAGACATTTAAGCTGGCAGGGCCTCCACAAGGCCGATTTCAGCTTCCGGGAAGACACCAGAAAGCCAAACGACTTCAAGACGCTGTGCAACTCGCCCCTCTCCGGGCCCAGGGAGCAGCCCCAGACACCCCAGTGCCGGGCTGTCACGCCCAACACGTGGGCTACGTAAAACCCTGGCAACAGGGGAGCCCCACTGCGGTCCCCGGGAAGGGAGAGAGCTGGCCTCCTGGCGCGAAGGCTACCCAACAGTAAATAAACACACAGCACCGGCGCCAACATCACATTTTGAGGGCAGGAACAACCAGCCCCACCGCAGGTCTGCATTACCAGGAGCTGTGTCACTTCCACATCCCAGAGCAGCAGCACCGTCAGGATCGCTGACACCCTCACAGAGCAGACAGTAACGGCCAAGCCAGAGCACCCAACCATGGCCACCCTGCGGGGCACCTGGATGCTGATCGGCACTGCCGTCCTGGGCACCGCAGTAATAGACAGCCTCGTCCTCGGCTTGGACCCCAGTGATGGTTAATGTGGCCGTGGAGCCGGACGTGGATCCGGAGAATCGCAAAGGGATGTCCGAGGGCCTCTGGTTGGGCCTCCTGCTCCTCACGGCACTTGCCAGCGCTCTGCAGCATGGTGAAACACACACATTTCGGGTAACACCTATGGGCTCTGCTGCGCTGGGCAGCTCAGGCTCCCCCTCACTCACGTTTCCAGAGCACTGTAGGCTCCTGTAGCTGATCCCGGGTTGATGTAGAATTTGTTTTCATGTTCAAATGCTTCAAATCTGTGCGTGTGTCCTGAGATGAGAATGTCCACATCCAGCTGCCTCTGCAGCAGTGCCAGGCTGGCCACATCGCCCCAGGGAATAACTTGATGGCCATGAATCAGCCCGATTCTGAACTGCCCGACAGTTACTACTTTCTCTTCAGGATAATTCAGGCTCTGAGAAGGAGAAAGGCACAGCCTATATCAGCCAAACACCCCTCACCTATGCAATGCAGGTTCCTATATTCCAAGACACGAACGTGCCTTTCCCTATTTGAGGGCACAAGGTCTCTTTCAACATGCAGACCCACTGGATGCTTGTACCACACCCCAGCAAGAGCAACTGCAGAGCAAGGAGCAGGGAATTTGCACAGAGATCAGGAGCCTCAAGGCTACCCAACAGTAAATAAACACAGATACACAAGTCCCCAGGCCCTGCAACTACACGGCCAGCTGGGGGACTGCAGCAGCCTCAGCAGTCACAGACAGACTTGTGCCAGAGTTCACATGAATCAAGTGCATGTATTGCCCCCCACACCCAGCCCCCCTGCTGCAACTGTGACAAGAAGGGTCTAGAAAATCATTTTGTTTCTTCAGTCTTACTCATCCCTACTTCCTATCCTGGTGAATTACAGTTCAAGAATTGCTAAAGCCGAAGGACTCCCCAGGTTTCATTGAGACAACCACAGCACGCGGGAAGGGGGGCTGAGGAATCAACAGCAGCGGGAACGTTACCTCAGAGTCCCCCCTAACAATGTGGATGTCCCCAGCCAGAGTCCTGAGGTAGTCATAGCTCTCCTTGGTGCAGAGGTTGCCCGTACACAAGATGTGCTGAATCTTTCCAGGAACCAGCAGCTTCTTGAACTTCACCGGTAGACCACTGCACCGGTGTGGGATGTGAAGGTCCCCTAATACTAACACCAACTTTGCACACAAGAGGGAGGAAAGAGAGACTTTTAACCCGGGATCCTTAACAGAACAGCACAAAACCTTTTTGCCGCTCCAGGGCGTTCGCAAAGTCTGGCGAACCATTACAGGCCCAGCAGGGATTTCTTTCAGATTCAGCTCTGAGGAAACAACCCCTCAGCGTGCCCGAGCTGCCCCGCAGACAGCCCAGCCTGCTCCCACCCGGGGGGAGCCGGGCGCTCCCACTCCCGCAGGTAGCCG